AGAAAACTGTGTTTACTAATCGTGAAGAATCTGTTAGCAGAAATCCTGACTGAATAAATCAGATCTCTTAATGCTCTTAAGATATCATTGTATCGCACAATAATTCTGGCAAAATATCTAAAAGCCTAGGGTAGGCTTATTTTTAAAAATACATTATCATATATTATTCAGTATTAAATTTAGACAAATTATGATAATTTATCCAATTATTAAAGCTGATAGTAGAGCCTATGGCTACCCTATGAGCTCACTGTTTTCAAGTATCATGATTCTCATAGAATATCTTACATAACCAAAATTTGATTTAAATATTTTTCCAAGGTGCTAGGGGCAATAGTTTCCTTGTACATTTTCAACTGATGATGATACAGGCCTGGCCCACTCACTATGAAGTATATTAAGTCTTTCTGCTTTTGGTAGAAGAGATATCCAAATAATACTCCCTAAATTGTCTACTTAATTGAAGAGCAACCGCAAATTCTGTTCTCAGATGACAACAAATTATTGCCAGACTGATGAATCAGAAAACATATGGTTTTGCCCTTGTGAGCTGTGTTTGCTGTGCTCACCCACAAATTTCTATGTGGCACAAATTGCTTACTTCTCATTTTGGTCTCAGATTAACTATTGTTTGTCCTAAACGGCCACCTTCCCCACTGATAAGATGGCTCACTTTTTGTTCATAGCAAATATATCTCCAGTTTGTTTATAGTGCAGATTAGGTGAGGTTTTGCAATTACCTGATGTTCGGCAGCTCACTCCAATTTCATGGCGGTTCTTCCTGAATGACTGAGTCTCACAGAAGCCTCAGTTAATATCTGTTCTGCTATTGCTTCATTTTCAATATCTCAAGTCAGCTATATTTAATAAACTATTTTAAATGTCCAGACATCTTATATAGTTCAACCGATACAAAACTGATTAGATAAGTCCTTAGGCTCAAAGGTCTGGAGAGACACATGTTTCTTAAGGAACTGTCCACTTCTTGAAAGCCTTGCAGAATCAATTACCACCATACAGCCATACCTAAGAGTAAGGTTGGAGAAAGCACCAATCCATTTTCAGAATATTTACCTCTTCATAATGGGTATCACCAGCGCACAGGAAGGAACTGTTAGCTACAGTGCGCACAGCCCTGTAATAAAAGACTTCAGCTGTTGCTAGGTAGGGCCCATTTATGCTTGCCTTTTTTCTTTTTTTTTTCTTTTTTTTTCCTTTTTTTTTTTGGTTTTTTGTTTTTCTTGTTGAAGAGCACCCAAGTGCAAATCAGATTTCTAGACATAGAAGAATTTCAATGACTGCCTCTTTAACCTGCTAATCTTTTGGACAGTTAATATTTCAGCATGTGCTTTGTGTTGGTGCCTAGAAGAGCTGGTATTACTTATTAACATTTTTTTTTATGCCTGAAGTGCCCCAAATTCACGATTTCCAGTGTAACCATTGCCTGAAAATCACCTGGGAGTCTAAACTAAGGATATTTTATACCATAGCCTTTGCCTTCTCATATCCACAGGAATCCATCTTTCCCATTTAATTGCAATGCCTTTACTGTGAGACAGAAGAAGAGGCTCATAAGCTGCTTGTTGACAATCAACAAGAAGATAAATGCATGGTTTCAAATGCAGAGGGACTATATCAGGGTAAAAACTGTTTTCCTGTTCTCACACAGAAAGAATATGGAGTAATGAATATCTGCTCAGAAGACTGATTAGGATCCTTGTGGTTTATTTAATGCCTCAAAGAGTGATAAATCTTTTCTCAGACCAAGAAAATCAAGGAACTTGAAGACCAAGAGAAAGAAGACTTGAGAAATTTTACCAAGGAAGATGTTAATAAAAGAAGGTTACAGCAGCAGACTGTAACCTTGACTGTAAACCTGAATTTGAGCTGTTGCAAGATAAAGGGATGCGGAATTCTGACAAGACATACCTGTGAACTATGCTTTCTCAGAGCACTATCAGTCCAGGAGACCAGAGCCCACATCCCACTTCTTGACATGTTGTCCCACCACTCAGTTCTAGGGTGCATGGAACAGCCTGTACTTGAGCGGTCCATGAACAAGACAGTCCATGAATATGAGCAACACACAGCATTAGCTTTATTCAATATAATTTCCTGAGAAAAATCACAGCTGACCAGGGAAAAAAAAAATCAAAATTTGATCTGATCTTGATGAATACTGTGCAAGATACAACATAGCTAATGACATATATAGAGAATACTACCTGGTCTTTACCAATGTCCTGCACAGCTCAGTGTGCACCTGGACTATCTTCTGTCCTGCGGTAGGGTAATTTCATGAAACATTACTGCAGTTAGCATATACATTTTTCAGAATACCTGCAGCATAGACATCTTACTTAAACAAGTAGCTACAAAATGTAGAGAAGAAAGTTGTTACTATCTAACATTTTAGCTGAGGCAGAATGCAAAAAAAAGATCTTACTTGCCCTATGGTGAAACATACACCTTTCTCAAACTGTACATGGTCAATTCATAGTTGTTGTATTGCACCTAATTTAACAAACTCACAGGAATCCTGATCTAGGCTTCATACTGTCCAGTTCAGACAAAACAATCACTGTAGTAAAAATGTGATTTGTATACAAACTTACACATATTCCTCACAAAAATTATATAAAATAGTTCCCTCCAAAAGGTTTATATTCTGAGAAAAAAAAAAAAAAAMAGCTAGCAGACAATGAATGAATTATAAGTCATATGAGTTAATGGGCTAATGACAGTGAAAGGCAACAAAATTAATACTTAATTCAATTGTAGAACACACCTCAGAAGCCACAGATCTCGGTGGCACAGGGTGTTCTGGACAGGAGTTTAGGTTAATGGAGCCACAAGTTCATAGGGGATGCCTTATCTCTCCAACATACCACCTGGTTCATGCTTTCAGACACTATTAGCAGCTGCTGCTTTCAATCTCCAGTGTAGGGTTTTCTTAACACCTTCTTCATGCTCTCAGATTGCTTTATAATAAGGAACATTGAACTGATTTTGTGACCACTGGTAGAAGTACCGCTGGGAATGAGTTTCATTTGAATAGAAAGGTTTCCGTCAAACTTAGATTCTAGTTGATCAGAATACTGCTCTCTGTAGATGCTGGAAGATTGTATGTTTGCAAGATGAACTCATTACCCCAGTGGCAGATGAAAGCTACCCGAGGGTAATGAGGCGCAATGCCTGATGTGAAGTAGATGTGCACACAAATCTGGCATTTACCTGCTATTCATGTGTGTGATTTTGAAATGAAGTGAAAAACTGCACAAATATCAAATAAACTTGATCACCGCCACCACATAATAGCAGTTATTTCAAATATAACCTGTTCCTTTTATAACACCCACTACTCCTATCCACTCATGTTATCCCCTACATATCCCTTCTTGTGGCGCTTCCCTCTTTTGCAGCAAGTATATTACTCAATGTATACACAGATATGTTTCACATTTTGATACAGTCATCCTTTAGCATCAGACAACAGCATAAAAATAAAAGGACCTTCTTTCTTATTATGGTATCCTTGGAAAGCACCACACTATTTCACTGTGCTATTGTATGAATATTCTGCTCTTTTTACTTTGCAAGTTGACAAGGCATGAGAAAATCAATCAAAAATATATTCTGGAACATTGTAACTAACATAGTCAAAGCAAAAGTCATTTACAACTTGCCCACTCCTGCAGTATGGTCCTGAAAAGCAGAACAGGATTGAAGAGAGAGACAGCAATTGCAAAACTCCCCTAAACCAGAGTCAAGTCCAGTCCCCATCAACTCAGAGTAAAGTGATTTTAGAACTCCTGAGGTACCTAGAACTAAAGCATACAGGCTCCTGATAAATGCCCCGATAAAAGTAGAGTTTGACCAACTCACTGATGTTTATACGCTGACTGAGATTAGACAAGAACCGAACTGCAGTTCCCAACCAAACTGAGTGCTGTCTCAACATTTGCAAAGTTTGTGGTATGTGCCTTTATTTTGGTGACTAGCTAGAATAGATGAAATTACATACACAGTGATGTGATCCTCATTATTTCCTATAATGTGGTTCTGATTTCATATATGCTTGATCTAAGTTTTCACTCATGGTCAGAGCTGGGAAACCAGAATTTGCTACATATTTGATAGTCCTACAGGCTAGTTCTCTTGTTTGAGAGTGTACAAGACATTAAAAACACGTGCTGATTATAATAGTGGATAGCACAATCAAACACCTGGGGTATTCCATCTCCATTCTGATTCAAAAATCAGAAAACAGAATGCAAGAATATTATCCATATGATAGTGAGCAGAATACATCTACTGGACTAGTAAATGTGTCTGAGTCATTACTATTGTCTTACTATATACTCTTACTATATACCGTCTATATACCATTGCATATAGCTTCACAAATATCACTGCCAAATCAAAGCAGCTACCCATTATTTACTAATAATTTTAGACATTAAGACATTATTTTTCTTCTATATTTTTCTTTAGTTCTATTCTATATAAGCTTAAAACTCTAGAAAAGAATATGGGCAATGTGGAAAATTGCTGGGGGGCTGCAAAGGCTGTAGAACTTGCAAAAAAAAAAAAAAACCCACAAAAAAAAACCCTCTAAAATTGTTTTCCTTGGTTACGTGCTCTCTCCAGGCCCTCTTGTTTATTCTAATGGCTCAATATATTGTAAGGGCTAAGTTACAGGCTGCATAATTGTGTGAGCGTACACTTTTGGCCTGTAGCAAATATAAAGAAATTTAATTTAGTATAAAGTCCTTTCACCACCCGCAAACCTAACACAAATTATCTTACATTCACTGGAGGGTGGAAGCAGGCAGCTACCTGACATGCAGCTAAATCACAGGAGCCTGACTGTGTCTCTGAGATCAGAGATTACCAATGGTACCCCTTTCTCAGGAGAGCTCCTGGAGAGCTTGCCTTTTCTCTCTCTCTCTCTAAATACACATGCTGCAGACAGACCATAATATCAGTGAAAAACTTACCTGCCATGCCTCGACCTTCTTAATATCTGCACATGATCCATTAGTGAAGAGTCCTTTCCCAGGGGTACAGGTGTATATATCCTGCAAAGCATGGGCAATAGAATATACTGCCAAGTACACGTTGTAAGATATCCGCAAGTGTGTGTAGTCCATGTACGGTGTCTCCACACTGGTGATGTTCTCATCCCCTGTACATGGAGGACGGAAGGCAGATGTACCATTTCCAGTTCCCATGCTTTCTTCATGGCCCTTGTGGAAGGAACCTGAGCCTGGTGAATTTTTGGACCCATCAGGGAGATAACAGTTAAATGTCTCCTCCCAAAACTCCTTGGCAAAGCCATTGTTGGTAGACTTCTTGGGATGTACCTTCTGCAGAAACTCACGAAAACCTGGAATCTGTCCTGCTTTCAATGCAAACCCAATGGTGCTACCGATGACATGGAAAAATTCTGGCATGGCTATCAAAGATGAACTGGCCCAAGCCTCGCTTGCTAGCCAGATCTTGCCAGTGATGTTTCTCCTGACTATCTCTTTGATGAGGGGTTCCAAGTCTGGGCCACTGGAAAAGACAACAATCACTCTTGCAGTGGAATTCTGGATGACCTCCACTACCTGCTGGATCTCTTCTTCATCTGAATACTGAGAGATGAGCTCACTGAAATCAATGCAGATGTCTCTCTCCTCTGCCTCCTCACGAAACTTTTCAATCCCTGGCCGGCCATAGTCATCATCAGCTGCGATCGTTCCAACCCAGTTCCAGCGAAAGTATTCAATGATATCTGCCATTGCAGTTGCCTGATGCTCATCATTGGGGATTGTGCGGAGGAAGGACTTGAACTGGTTCTTGTTGCTCAAAAGACGACTGGATGAGGCATAGCTGACCTGTGAGAGTACAGGGAGAAAGCAACACAAACCATGAAATGGAATGGCTGGGAATAAATTGCCTACATCTACCTAGCACCACTGTCAACTTGTGTAACCTCAGAGATAGTGAAGGGAGAGCTATGCACCACACTGTCAGCACCATACTTTCAGCCTTTGATTGCACAGAAACCACTCAGAGAGACTGCATATCACAGAATCGTTATGGTTGGAGAAGACCTTCAAGGTCATCAAGTACAACCATATATTCTTGTAGTTGTGAATATCTTGCAGAGGTACAAATACTGGAGCAGATGCTCAGACCAGAGGGACTGGATCAAGCCTATGTTCAGTTAGGGATCTGAGGAAGAGACAGAGACACCATCTAGGAGGAAAGGCAAAGAGGTTTGCCACAGACTACCTATGCACACATGTCTCTCCAATTCCTGTCAAATCCAGAAAAAAAGGACATATCTTTCAGATAAATTAAGACTGTGCACATCATTAGGAAAAATACAAGCTTCTGTCCTGAATGGCACATGAGACAGCAGCCTTGTATTGTCTTCCCAGGCCTATTTTAGAAAGCATTTTCTTTCTCTCCTTGCCTGTCATCTCCTTCCCTCTCCTTAAATGGGCTCCATAGGCAATATCCCTGCTGGCTCCAGTGAGAGACGTGATTTAAATCAGCGCCTTTGAACCCAGGGAGGGGTAAGGCAATAGTGATCAAAACTACCTTAGCATTGTTTCCTAATTCCTGGCCAGAATCAGCAGAGAAGTCAGTAGGCATCACTGCCTTGAAGTTACAGTGAAGTTACAGTCTTCTTTTCTAAAGCTACCAAGAATTGTTTTATTTTTCCTAATTGGAACAAGTACCTTATTTGCTCAAGATACAATTTGGATTTTCCAGAAAGAAAACAGTAAAATCCAAAACAAGAAGAGCTGAGATCTGAAGAAGTTTTAAAGCTCAAGCATCTTTCAATTTTGAGATTGGTATCTGAAATCTTTAGGACTCCCTCTCACTTTGAAAAGATCTTTAAACAGTTCAGTTTCCACAGAACGGAAATCTTCAAAAATCTTAAACTCTGCCATTTAACACTTAAGACTTGAACTCTCCTGCTAGAAGGATGAAGAAAAGGAGATCTCCTAATGCATTTCCAAGTACCACAGGAGCAAGTCAATCCTTCCATACAGCTATGTGCTACCTTAGACAGTCTCCTGGCCAGTGCTGTCCTCATCACCTACCACTGACACTCCTCCATATGCTATAAAGTACCTGATACCTGAGGGCATTTTTTTGTGCATCTTAGATGTACAAGAGCCAGGCCTGGACGCATAAAGGAAGTGTCACTTTTGTGTAGGTTATAGTGGCTTTCCCATTTCTATCTTAGCAGGTCCCATTCCTTTTGGAGCTTCAGAAACTGTGCCTGCATGCTTTTTAAAGGTGCAAAAGACTATTTTTAAAGATCTCTCTCCTTCTTAACTACTTGCAATTTTATAGAATACACTGAGATAAGAGTGAAAAATAAAATAAAAGTCATAACGTTTTCAGTTTCTATGTGAACAGAATGAGTAATGAACCCTAAATTAATTGTAAAATATATTTCCAACTTATACGGAAATGTAGGGTCTATTAAGCATGGATTTTTGCTAATGGTATTGCTATAGGTGGCAGAGATAATGCATATTCTAATGCTGCTTGACAATTCCCATTTTGAAAGCCTGCTCTCAGCTGTCAAACTTTATCCATATGGCTAAAAGTTTGTTCCATGTTGGGAACTGAACCTCCTGACACCTATCTATTTCTGAAACCACTAGTAAGAGTAGTTCTTTGTAACGTAAACATCATATCCTCCTCAACGGAAAATTGTGAGAGCTGCAACGACCTGTTCTTTTCAGTTCAACCTACCATCCTCTCTGAGTAGCCCCTGGTTACCTGGCAGTGTGAATATGCGATTAATGGTATGCCTTAAAATGCCATCACGGTGCTTATTACATCCCCACCTTCCAATGCTACTCTAGGTAATGCCTGGAAAGCATATACTGGTCATAGCTCAAACCATTCCTCCCTTGCACTGTAACTGTACATCTTGTCAGATCTGTCAGAACTAAGGAGTTAGGCTGCATTAACTAGATGAGAAATATTACTGCGTATCAGCCAGGAATGATTCCTTCTTCATTTGTGGGAACTGTATGGGAACTGGAGCTCTGGTTGAAATAAAAACATATACACTCAGGATAGACCGAGAGAAGAGTGTGACAAAATATTACAGTTCTGAATCACTATGGTAGAAAAAGTCGTTCAAGATCATGTTCAACCATAAATCCTTCAACACCATGCTTTCAACCATGTCCTTCAACAACCATGCCCTTCAACCATGTCCATAAGTGTCTCATCTACATGTTTCTTAAACACTGCCAGGGATATTGACTCTACCACTTCCCTGGGCAGCCTGCTCCGATGCTTCACCACTCTTTCATGTAGAAATTATTCCTAATACCTATTCCAAACCATTTCCTCTTGTCCTATCAGTAGTTATTTTGAAGAAGAGATCAACCTCTGCCTCACTACAACCTCCTTTCAGGTAGCTGTAGAGAGTGATAAGGTCTCCCCCCGAGCCTCCTCTTCTCCAGACTAAATAACTCCAGCTCCCTCAGCTGCTCCTCATAAGATCTCTGCTCCAGCCCCTTCACCAGCTTCGCTGCCCTTCTTTGGACGCGTTCCGACACCTCCATGTCTGTCTTGTAGTGAGGGGCTCAAAGCAGAACACAGTATTCAAGGTGCAGCCTCACCAGGGCCAAGCACAGGGTGGACAATCACTTCCCTGGTCCTGCTGGCTGCACTGTTCCTGATACAAGCCAGGGGGCCCTTGGCCTTCTTGGCCCCTGGGCACACTGCTGGCTCACGTTCAGCCAGCTAGGGACCAAAACCCCCAGATCTTTTTCTGCCATGCAGCTTTCCACTCATGCTGCCCCAAGGCCTCTTATAAGCTTTGACAATGCAACTATGTGCATTTTAGAAGAGAAATTGGAAATATGAGAGAAGACAAGACAAAGTGTAAGTGGATAAGGCCAGGCAGTGCATTTCAAAAGTTCTCTTCAATATGAAAGTCTGTCATGGATGACAAGAGCTAATGACTTACCTAAATTATCAGCGTTCCCCAACTCAACCACTTCAGAGACTGTCTTCCCCCTATATTAGATTATTGTTGGCTGGATATTGCTACTTGGCTGCCTCCTTACCTTTGGGGATTACAAATTTCTAGCAAGACAGATACTCATAAGAACCCCGCCACACACATATACACACTTTTTAAAAATTGTTTCTCTCCTTGGGAGTCTATTTTAAGTGGCAAAGACTGAACAAGCCATAGAGGCTGAACTCCCGTGGACCCCTTCTTTTGTGCAAGAGGAACACAGAAGCAGGGAATAGGATAGAGAATTTGGCACAATCTCTGTACTTGCCAAATGGCAAGTGCCCTTCTCACCTGGCGAACGTGAGAGTTAATTCTTGTATTTCTCACCAGTGAATATTCAGTTTGATTTGACTGAGTCATTTTAGAAGGAAATAAACTACATTTTATCATGTAAAGTGTCATCCCACTTCAAAAGCCAGTGTTTCACATTGATGTGTTGTGTTTGAGCTCATTAGTATGGTTAGGCCTTCTGCATTTCTAAACTTCCTTTTGTTTGAAACACAGATGAATTGTGTTTCAGCTCCCTATCACAGTTCTGTCAATATACTTAAAAATGCCCTGCAAACAGCAATATCCCCTCTGGTTCTTCAGGCCCAGCTTGTGCTGCAGAGTAGGGAGGTAGGTCACTTTTTAAGCTAAACAAGAGAAGTGAATCCATACCTGAGGTATGTAGAAGAGTCCTAGCAGATTAGCCACAGCAGTTGAGATCCCAGAGCCAGTTGCGCCCACGACTGCAATGGTGGAAGGTATATGTTCGGAGCAGTTGCAGAATTCGTCCAGATTCAAAGAGTCTATCTTGTTCTGAGCCACAAAACTCAGGGTTGCCTCTAGGGCTTTAGAGACTGTATTGCAAGTGTCAAATATCCTGTATCCCAAGGTCATGTTGGGAAGGAGAGTTGGACTACTGTTTATTTCTTCTATGGCAAAGATCATAGCCTGTAGCCAGCGGAAGCCTCGGAAATTATACCTGGGAGCAAGAAAGAAATAGGAGAGAATGAGAAATCATTAAACAGAGGAAAGGAGACCAGGACTGAAACAACAAGAGCATAAAAGATATCAGATATAAAAGACAAAGGCTGCATATATTACTTAACTCTATCTTGTAGATTTCAGAAAGGTTTCTCTTTTCTTCTGCGATTACAGAAGAGACATGTATATGTAGCAATATTTTGCTCTGGCTTTCAACTCTTCATGTTTGGGAGCTCAGTTCAGTGGTTGTGGGGATAAGATGATTTTTTCTAAATCTCCTAAGTCTGGGAAACTTGAGAAAGATCACACATAGAGTGGTGGTTTAGGCCTGTTCCTTCTCGTCAGGATATTAAATCTGGGATCTTGTGATTCCTAAGCAAAAGCTTAGGCACAAAACTATCCTTACCAGATTTCTTTCTGTGCAACTCTGACACATTTCTGAATGCAGATGGCAGTGTCTACTAAGCCCTGTGCTCAGTAAGATGCTGCCGGGGACTTAGATTCAGGGATACTTGATGCGTAAATTGCTAGAGGCATTTGGCAGGCAGTGAGAGTTGCAGCACTAAGCATTGGCTGCCTCTGGATATGCAGGTGCTGGTTGGCCCCATGCAGGAAAATTTGGGTATCTGTAATGCTTGGGCCTCACATCTCACAGTAGGAAAGAGAACACAGCCCTCTTATACCACAGACCTGCTTATACCACAAAATTGATAAATATGGTAGATTTTAATCCTAGCAGAGGATTAACAAGTTAATTTATTAATTTGGTAATTTGGTACTTCAGTGTTTTCATCCAAGAACAACTTTCCTCTTTATTACAGGGCACCCGTTTATTTTGGATACAAGCTCAGAAGCTGTGGCTGGAACTAACCCAGAGGTAGGGAGCAGTATTACGAACGGGCTGCAGAAGCTGGTAGTTCATGTTTACACATCACATGCAGTAAATGAACTGCCAGTCAAAGCTGCTGAGGTTATCAGAGTTGGTGTGAGGACGAGTGGCTATCAATTCAAGGGAGAGAGAATCTTTCTTTATGGAAAGAAGCAGAAAGTAGCTTCACCATGTGCCATTCCTATGTTTTACTTACTGTGTCTTCTCCTGTAAAGCTGCAAAAGCAACCAGCTGTGTGCCTGTGAAGCTGCCATGTTTTGGGATAGTTCAGCTGGGATAGCAGAATCTTTCATGAAATGATACCTGCCCTTCCTTATGATGCATTACCTGTCAGGAGAGCAGCGAGTTTGCAGTTTTGAGTTGAGCCATAGCTGAAGGCATCAAAGCTATTATGCTTGAGATTCATTGAAAAAACTGATGGGGGCAAGAACTGTGGAATAGACTTCTGAAACAGCTAATCTAAGAATAGATTTGTTATAAAATGTTCATTTTCAGATGAGTACCATTTTGAAATGTTTTGAGATATATTTCAATTACCAAGGTGAAAAATTTTGAAGATAAGCTACAAGCAATCATGAACGTTCAATCTCTGAGATACATGGCCCAAACATTTTTAAGTTACTGGATAAACTGCTTCCAGCATTGATATTAGCTATATCTTACTTATGCAATAGTGAATGAGCATAACCATATTAATTTCATTCTGGGAATTCTATCTTATCTGGTTTATCAGGGATCAGAAGTTCTAAAGGTATCACATCTAGAGATTTACCTTTTAAGTGTTAGTAGTATTATTTATTTAACCTTATCTCACCTCTTCAAGATATCTTTGGCCAAATTCTAAGAGGTTCTGCTCTGAGGTTGCGCAGACAGAGAACAGACAACATAGCTTCATTACAAATGTCTTCAGCAGCTTTAAGTCATAAGTTTGAGGCCAATAAAAATTCACGTTTATAATTTATGACCACTAGTTTTTTAAGGTCACTCTCTAAAGCACAGACATCCTCTAGAACATGTGCATTACATTTAGAAGTAATTTGGTCATTTTCATTTCTGCTCTTATTCCAAACCACTGCAATGGAACAGCTTTGAAATAAAAATGCAGCTCTTAGACGGAATGAGGCAGTGAAAGTTCCATACAGAAAATAAATAAATAAATAAAAAAAAATGCACTGAGTCAACCAAGCTGCCTCTCCTGGTCAGTAATGCACTCCAGGAAGATCAAAAGAGCAACGAGAAAGGCTTTTATGATTCTTCATTATAAAAAGTTAAATATATTCACAGGTATTTTGAGGTAAAATGAAAACGCAATTTGAAGCCAGGCACTGCGCCTAGGCTCCCAGTGTAAGGGAGAAAGAAAAAGAACATATTTTATATATTTCAAGAGGAGATTGCTGAGAAGCTAAGCTCAAAGCTATTATTAAACTGTGAAAAGCCTCACACATTCTTATGAGACTTAAACAGAATTTTAAAAAAAGTTAGCTTATATTATTACACAGGTGGAAAATGACATAAAAGTTGAATTATGTTTTATGGTATTTGACAGCAATGAAATTTAGATTTCAAAATTTAGATTTCATCCTGCTATTATCTTCAGAATCAGTGAAATTGGACTATCTTCCCCTTGCCTTCAATTAATGTGTTTACCAGTTAGTTCAGCAGGTGCACGGTAAGGCCCATGACACATAACTGCTTTTATTTTCCTTTATGACATATTGATGTCATATTATGACATATTGATGAATTTTTATTTACAGCATTTAGTCTACCTACTGAAGTTTGGACTGGCTTTATTTTGGAAGGGAAAAGACAGCAGGTGTTGTCTGGCAGCTAGAGTCCAAAATGTGTTTGAAATGCTTTTGATAATTTACCTCCAGCCAAAACATTATGGCTAAGGGATATCCAATTCTCCTCAGTTGCACCTCCTCTGGTAGCAGCACCAGCAATTCACCAGAAGATGATCAAATAGGTTAGAGACAAACACACCTGGCTCTATCTTCTCTAATACTGCGACTCTAGATAAGACTTCAAACAAAGTCTCCTTCTGATAACACTCGTCTAGCATTATATCTGATACTATACCAGTGCTAATGCAGATATAGTCAGGCGAAGGGAGCTGTGCTAAAGTAGTTTAGCTGAAGCAAGATTAACAACTCCTTCAAACACGGGGAGTGGGACTCCTGTGCACATGACTCCAGCAAAGGGCGACAGAGAGATTCCTCTTAGCTTGGTGTTTGAAACTGGCAGCATGTTGCACAGATCCAAGTGATCTTTTGCTGCTACTGTGACTGATGCGCAGCCATGCACATTTTTTATTGGGAATTTCCATAAATAAACAACAACATCCAAAGGACTTAGTAACAGAAGAAAACTTTTAGTCAGACTTCCAGGGTCTTTAAATAGTCACTGAAAATAAACGGGGGGGGGGGAAGGAGCTTCCAAAACATATTTTATGACAGATTATTTCTATAGCTCCATTGGCATGGTCTTGTATTTTAAGATGAATAAGATGCTCTGCTATCAAAAGTGCCTTAGAAACTTTAAATGAGAATTTACTGTAAATAAGCAGTGCCCAAAGGTGAAGACAGCAATTTCAATTCACATTTCACACTCCTGTAACTGCTTCTTCTCTCTCACACCCCATTCTCCCTTCTGTCTGTCGGGCCTGGGGCATGCAATCCATTTCAATTTAACTTCTTAATAGTCTCAGGCAGAAGCAAAAACAGGCAAAGAGAAATCAGAATGACTTTTCCACAAATTCTCATGTGAATTGCCCATCCACAGGGGATGGATTATCTTTGCAGTCCAGTTTGCTCTCAGTAAACTCGTAAGATCTCACTGATTCTAAGATGTTTCTTTCCAGTTGATCTAAATATGGCCATCCAGAAATGTTCAAGAAGGCTAAAATTTATATATCCTTACTTTGCATCACTAAGGAACATAAAGTCCTGGTTTAATGGTTTGAGCTCCCAGAAGCTCCATGACCTGTGAAAGCCAAAACTATCCAGAACCACCCTGTCAGTGCTTGGGCAAACCCCAGCTGCATGTCCCACAGGGTTATGAAATCTGAAACGTGTGTCTGGGAAACTCACCCCAGCCCCTTGAGGCCCTTTCCTCAAGCGGCCAAACTCATTTCCCCACATCATCACCACATAGCTAGAGATGTGTTCAGACTGGCACTTACAGTGTGGGCTGGATTACAAAACATGCTGCTCCTGACCCTGCTTAGGCTGTTTTTTAAGCTTTCCCATCTGGAAGACGTAGCCAAAGCCACCAACTTTTATGACGGGCTGTCTGAAAGACTCAAGTGTTGCAGGGCCTACTTACTCTGCAAGAAACCCTAAAGAGAAACTTGCAGTCCTGAAATGCTGTTTGTTAGCTTGCTTATTTGGTTTGCTTTGAACCTCTCATACTATCTGGATCCACCAGGGAAATAGGAATCTGTTAGTCTCTTTATAAAGGAGCAAGTCACAGCTTTATGTTGCATATTGACCTTCATTTATCAAAACATACAAATCACCACACTACAACCAATAGAATATGATGGAATAGAAGGACAAAGTAATGAAAAACCTCTAAACATGGCTCTTGCCTTTTATAGCAGATATATACTTTAACTCAACAACGATGACAAAAGCTGCATGTATTTCAGATCACACCAGTACTCCTTTCTTTCTCAAGTGGCTGTATTTACATTCTAATTTCTCTGTCCTCTCTAAATTCTTAGTACATTAATAATGTTTAATTGCTACTAGCATTTAGTAGCACTGCTATTATTAAGACATGCAAAGGTGAGAACTTAGCTCAATTTTAGGGTCCTTTCAGTCATAAGTATACAGTGAGTTGCTTATTATTCTCAAAAGTTAGGGGTATGAGTAATGGGATCTGTGTAGAACACAGACACACACACACACACAGAAACTAAAACTCAGGAAGAGGAAAGGGAATAATTAAGTTTTAGATTTTAGAAGGGAAATTCTGTCCTGGAGTTTTTCTCTATGAAACTGTGTACTATGAGATGAGGATGATGTTTTGCAACTTAATCTAATAGCTCTGAGCCACAATGTGGATCCTTGATTGGCCTGCTAATCTGATTTCAGGGAATATGCATTAAAAATTAAAGACATAATGACACTGTATTGGTAAGACTATCTCTGCACACTAGGGATATATTTTCATGGCAGACACTGCTCATTAGTGTAAGAGGAAGCCAAATATACTGGCCATCTATGCTATAATACTAAGAATATAACTAGCACTGCTGGTCATAATATAATGAATGCAACTGAAATGGACAGAAGGACAGAGACATTAAGTTACAAATGAGGCTCAATGTCCTGGCAAAGAATAGGGATCATGAATTTTGGGTGTGCTGTGCTCAGTCTTTGTCTTCACAGAATCACAGAATATTCAAGATTGGAAGGGACCTCTAGAGATCATCTAGTCCAACCTTCCTGCTCAAGCAGGTACACCTAGAGCATGTGGCACAGGGTGGCATCCAGGCGGGTTTTGAAGACCTGCAGAGAAGGAGACTCCACAACCTCCCTGGGCAGCCTGTGCCAGGGCTCTGGCACCCTCACAGTAAAGAAGTTCCTCCTCATCTGGAGACGGAACTTCCTTTGTTTCAGCTTATGCCCATTTCCCCTTGTCCTATCGCTGGCCACCATTCTTCATTGTATACATCAGGTATGTGACAGCATATGTTAATTGGAAAGTTGCTATCATAGTAACTGAGACATACAAAGAAGATACATTTATATCAAACACAGGCTATTTGGTTGCATAAGCAATAAGCTATGTAAATATTTCTAAAATCAGGAAAAAAAATTCTATCACTTCCCATATTCCTATCTTACATGTAAGGTCGCAAAATCAGAGTAAGTTTTTTGCTTTGAACTCTGCAATTTAGTGCTTAAAGTGTGAAGACACGTTTCCAGTAGAACTGGCACAGACAGACTGTGAGGAAATTGTTCTTTTTTCCCCTTTCATTACTAAAAGTATAGTTTTCCAAATAACTATATGCACTAGTATGCACAGTAGATTAAGGTCAGTATACATGCTGAACTAGGCAGAAAGATGCAGTACCACAAGAATATAAAGAGCATGCAAATTTTAAGAGTGGAAGGACACTCCAAAATGGGCCCTACCCATTTTGGGAAGTACTGTTTAAAAGTATAGGGATGGAACTAGAAGCAGCTAAATGTCTAGAAAATGATCAAACAGCACAGATTGAGTTGAGCAGTCCTCAACAGAAATCTGAGGACTCAGATTTCATCATTTCATATTGCTTGACACTGAGTTGCTTGACACTGAGTAGAAACCCCCAGATTTCCAACGGGCTCCATGGGTCTTTACTTGAGCTCAAAGCCAGGAGCCTGTCCTATCATCTGATGACTTGCTTCAGCCTAATGGAGGAAAGAGAGAAGCACAAATAGACTCCTAGAGACCTAGATCTTTTTTCCCCCTCTTCTCTTTTTCCCTCTTGTTTGGTATGACACCTCTTTGAAACAGAGCTTAAAAAACTGTATGCAGCTGCCTAAAACGGGGGCAGATATACAACTGACTAGCCATGGCTTTAGAAAGACATAGGATACGATTCAGGGAAGGGTAGCAAGGCCTAGAACAGGTTTTACCCCAGGAAAAAGCAAAAATAGCCTAGCCAACTGTCCAGAAATAAGGAAACTCAATACTGATACAAAAGAAACTAGGTAAGAAATCTTAATTCATGACTTGGTGAACCTATTGGATTCAGAGTCAGAATGCAGGTACAACACTTCTCCAGCCTACTGCAGAACCAGATAATTAAAAACTAAAGGAGGCCACCATTTTTGTCTAATGGGAATTGTGTTTAAGTCAGGCAACAGGACTTTTCTGAATTAAGTTCTGCTTGAAACAGAGAATCTCTGCTAGCAAAAATATTGGCTCTCACCTTAAAATATTCCAATGACAAGGAATTTGCTATAGCCCATAAATTCTCCTACAGGTTAATTATCTTATTAAAATCTGATGACTAGATTTAAGAAGTCTTTCTAACCCAACCTCTTCTGAATTGATTGTTTTATGGAAATTTTCTAGTTAAGACATGTGCAAAGAAACTGTTTCCAGCTACCTCTGATCAAATCATCTCCATATTCCTGTTGTAATTACAATTATTTCTGCAATTAAATTTTTGTCTTTCATTAAATATTCTGCATATTTTGCACTGTGCTATCAATGCATGATTTATCTAGTCCACTGAAGGAGTCCATACTTCAGGTAAAGCAGCTCAAATACCTTTTTCATCAACTTCTTTCCACCTGCCACTCCTTCGTGCAAGGGTAAGGGGAATACAGATCCTAATCCAGCAGACAAACTAGAAGATGACTTTCGGCAGATGCCCCCACAAGGACCTCCCAATGGGTCAGCCCGCCCAGCTTTCTTTTCTCCCCCTACAACGTTGGCAGCGCTGTCTCATTGTGATCAGCTTTTCGGGATATACACACTATCATGTGGAACAGACTTATTCAGACTTCTTTGGCCTCTTTCTTCTATCATTCCTTCTCATAATGTGCCCTTGTCAAAACTGTTACTGAGACAGGCCCAGTGCTGAAGAAATGACTGTTACTTTCAGTTTACAAATACTGGGGTTGTCTGCCTACCTCCTGGAGCAACTGAAAAAGACAATGAGATCTGAAAATGTTCATTGCTTTTCAACTTTCCACTTCTAAAATACTGCTTCCCGGAGAAAGAAAATACTGACACAAGCTGCAATTTTGACAGAACTTCTTTCTCCATGAAGTAGTTATTGAATGTACATTTCAATCATGACATTCATGTACATCATTAAACATAAAAAAAAAAAAGCCTATTTATTTACAGTTCTTTCTAGGTGCTTCCTATGTCAGCATCTAGATATGCTGTCATAAATTTGATGGAAACGTTCTGTTTAATATCTTAATTTGATTCCAGGAAACCACTTGGAATCTCTAAGTGCATCAGGAGTAATGTCAGCAATTCTTCAGCACCATCTTCAGTAAAACTGAATTAGATCCCCACTCTAGGACCAGAGGTCAAAGTAATTTTAGACATATTATTCTTTCATACATGACTACAGAAGAGATATTACGACAATGAAATGCTTTCCCATGAATGGTGATGACAAAATTCCTTACCAATTGCATATATTTTGTTCGTGTGACATTTCAGTTCCATAAACTTGTCGCACTTCTCATTTCTAAATTACATGTATTATAAACAGAATTATAAGATTAAAAATCTCTGATGCTTCATCATAAAAATGGCTACACATCAGGAATAAGAGAAGCTATTTTCATGTCTATTACCCCCACTCCCTCCAGGCCTAAGTACCAAAGGTTTAGACAGAATCTATATGCACTGCTTATATAAAAGAAGAGGACTTTGGGTGAGGAAAGTCTGAGTAGGGAGTTCAAGCCTTTGTAAAGTTTCTAAAGGGACAGCTATGTGGTTAGCAGCAGTTTTCAAAAGCAGTAAACTGTCCAGCTGTCACCTCTTCACTTGTCTAGCCAACTAAATAGTTTGCAAAGTGCTTAGAGGCGGCATTGAAAAAGAACTGAACACCTGATTTCCAAGCTTTTTTTTCTTAAAGACACTACTGATTATTTTCCTTCCTTCCCTTAAGAAAGCTTTGTTTAGGATACTATTCAAACGTCCACTATGGATGATGAGATAGATCAGGGTGTATGTGTTTGGTGGCTTTGGAGAATATATGAATTGCCTTTTTTCACTGCCCAAATATTACTTACGATTGGCTTTAACACATACACATTCTGTTTTCTTCTGTTATTTACACCATGCTTTCCTATTACCTTGGGGAACTAAGTTCTCCACAAGCATCAGATCACAGATCATTATATCATTATTTAATAGGATAGCTTGTGACTACTAGTTGAGAAAGGTCAAGACTCCTCTACCAAGACTCTATTTTTTTTTAATGGACTTACCTTATACACTCCACTGATTCTGGTCTTGATTTTAGATCCTGGTCTTTAGCAGCCACTCCAAAATGAATGGGGAACAATCCTCCAAGAATAATGTCTCCCTTTTTCTGTGCCCGCTGGTTTGGTCCATAGGCAGCAGTGTTCCATGCAAATACCAAAAGAATCAAGCAGCAGCTATATAAAGTCATTGTTCCTCTTTTCACCAGGAGGTTATAGGATGCAAAAAGATGATGCAGGTGGATCTAGTAATGTCAAGTAAGTTTTTTGGTTCCTAATACAGCACAGGAAAGATTTGTGATACATGTCTGCAGTGAGCTAAGCAACAAGATGAGAGACATAGTGCTGGTACTTCTCTCTTTATCTTCTCCATCACAAACCAACAATTCAGTTGTCCTTGGTTCTTCATAGCCAAAGCACTACGGAGAGCTCATCTCTGAGAACTGCAAAAAAAAAGGCTGCTCTTTATCATTGAAAAATACTCAGAGTGTTTTGCCAATTATATTACCTGGTAGCTGGAAAGCATACTTTCTTTAAAAAAAAAAAAAAAAAAAAAAAAAAGATATGAAAAGTGATCTCAGTTACACATTAGAGTCCACAGTAGTTCCACTTTGTCAAATCAACCTCTGTACACACCTGATGCTGCCCCCACTCAACAACCTGTACAGGGTATAACCTAACTTTGAAAGAACAAGTCAGACATGAGAGTACTCTCAGCCACACCTTCCGAGTGAGAGAACACAGGACTATTTTCAGTCTTTTTCAAAGAAATGTCATGGATTCTTTCAAGTGCCTAATTCTGCTACACACCAGGAGCTGGGTTGCTACATTTGCCTATTGCTCTTCAAGACTGGTCACAGGAAACTTGGTAAAACTATAATTAGGCCTCAGTAAGCAAAACAGTGAAGGAGAGAATGGGATAGGCACGTGGGAAATGAAGAAGCATGAACCACAGTAAGAAACAAGACTTTCTCTTAAACAAAGAACTGCAGTAAACTTCTGGCGAGGATCCCTCCCCTCCTTCTTACTGACTGCTTTTTACTTTTTGTGTTGAACTTATTCACGCTAAAAATAAAACAAGATCACAAGAAAGTCTTTGTTCATATCCTAAATGAAGATGACTTCCAGGGAAGCATCTGAAATTAAGATACTTCCCTGTAATGTGTTTTGAAGGCTTAGAAGGTTCAGCGACCCTGTCATTCCAGGCTTAACTATTCTAACGGCTTTGAAGTGATAATTGTAACCTCTCTGTAATTAGTGCATTTTCCCTGCAGCACATCTACAGGCCTGCCAACTTAAAAGCTATTTAATTATGGATTATGAAAATGGCTATGTGGGGGGAACCAAAAAAAAATATATATATATATATAATAAATGGCTCATCAGTCCAGTGGAAATAGGTATAAAACTCATACTAAAAATCTGGAGTTAGTCAAATTCAGACTAAAAGCTAGACATACAATGGTAATACTTGGGACAAATAGTATCAGAAAGTCATCAAGAGGTATCAGCTGCTAAGAATATTTTTTAAATGAGGATTACTTTGTCAAGGACTAAAAACAACTCAACAGATTTAACCTCTACCTAGGCTACTGTAGGGAAACACTATTACTTTTGCCACACAAATCAGAAATGAACATTACAGTGTTGTTTTAGCACACACTATCAATAGTCACACATGCTGTATGTCTCACACTTTCTTGCTCAAATGGAAGTCCAGAAGAAGCAGTCAGTAGGAAAAGAAAAAACAAAGCTCAGATTATTCTTGTGCCTCAGCAATCATCACACTCCAAGTAGCTGGATATACACTGCATTTTTCTGTTCATTCAGGTTCATTCTAAACTATTTTTTTGGTCCTGGACTGGGAAAAAAAAAAAGTGACTTCATTGACAAGGGTATCTTCTTGCTAGAGATCTTTGGCTAGAGAGCAAAACATTTGTAGGTGAACAGCTTTCTACCAGGGAATGTGGAATCTAACTGAAATGTCTTCTAGGACCATATGAGCTTTCATATAAAAAAATCTCTTATTTCATGCTTACAGGGTCAAAATTCACAGATTCACAGGTTCACAGAATATTTAAGGTTGGAAGGGACCTCTACAGATCATCTAGTCCAACCTTCCTGCTCAAGCAGGCACACCTACAGCATGTGGCACAGGGTGGCATCCAGGCGGGTTTTGAAGACCTCCAGAGTAGGAGACTCCACAACCTCCCTGGGCAGCCTGTTCCACTGCTCTGTCACCCTAACAGTAAAGAAGTTGCTCCTCACCTGGAGACGGAACTTCTTGTGTTTCAGCTTGTGGCCATTACCCCTCGTCCTGTCGCTGGCCACCAGTGAAAACAGCCTGTCCCCTTCCTCCCTGCATTCTCCCTTCCTGAACTTATACATATACATATACAATCATATCCCCTCTGAGCCTTCTCTTCTCCAGAGAAAACAGGCCCAGCTCACTCAGCCTCTCGTCATACAAGAGATGTTCCATTCCCTTAATCATCCTGGTTGCCCTTCTCTGGACCCTCTCCAGAAGCTCCACGTCCCTCCTATACCGGGGTGCCCAGAACTGCACACAGTACTCCAGGTGCGGCCTCACCAGAGCTGAGTAGAGGGGCAGAATCACCTCCCTTGACCTGCTGGCAACACTCCTCCTGATGCAGGCCAGGATCCCATTGGCCTTCTTGGCCACGAGGGCACACTGCTGACTCATGGTTAACTTGGTGTCAACCAGGACTCCCAGGTCCCTCTCCGTGGAGCTGCTTTCCAGCAGGTCGACCCCTAATCTGTCCTGGTGCCTGGGGTTATTCCTCCCCAGGTGCAGGACCCTGCACTTGTCCTTATTGAACCTCATGAGGTTCCTCTCTGCCCAATTCTCCAGCCTGTCCAGGTCCCTCTGGATGGCAGCACAGCCCTCCGGAGTGTCGGCCACTCCACCCAGCTTGGTGTCATCTGCATGATGATTCAGTTGAAACTCTGAAACTTCTACTTCAAATAAACTTGACTGTTGTATATCTACTGATGACCGGAGATTTCAACACCTTCCTCAAGGTCTAACATTGTTAGTTAGAAAACACTTCAGGACATTTCTCTGGAAAGCAGCTGGGTTTACATTAAACTACAATAGTCAGCATATAATGTACTCTATCACTTGTAAACACATTGTTTTAACGTTTGTCTGGTACTGTCAAGGCTTTCGACAACCAGAACTTTCATCAGAGCCAGGACTAGCCTGTGATAAAGCAGTGCCAAAAGTCCAAGTGTGGAAAACTCCTTAAGCATTTTTCTGCCTCTCTATAGCAGCATGGGGGCTGTAGCTTTTACGTCTGCAGTGCCCCAAAGAAAAAGGAAATACCATACCTCTTTCCAGCTAGGATTCTAGGATTGATTTCTTTCTCTCCACCTGCCTGAGGGTAAGTCTGCGAGGTCCTGCAGGATAAATTCCTGAAGGTCAAATTATCATTGCAGTCAGCTGCAGATTGTTTTCTGTCATTCTGCCTTAGTTGAAAAAACCCTCCTGCTATCAAATGCCTCATGCAAATGTTTGCAGTCACCTACAGAATGGCTGGCTGGCCTTATGGTAGGAAGCAAGTTGTGTCGTCTGCCAGCTGCTGCAGAGTGCTGTATGGTGGAACCTGCTGCCTTGACAAACCGTTAGACTTTCCTCATGTGCAGTCAGGTAGCTAATGAATATGCTGCAAGTCCCGTGCTTCAGGAGCACATTGAGCTAACTGCAGGTGGGGACGTCCAATACACCATAAATGCTCTCTGTCTCTGCTCACAGCCTGCACCCTGACTGAATCTGGAATACAGGCACAAGAGCAATCCCTGTTACCTACTTTCCCTTTCCTGTTTCCCAAGCTCCTCAGATCAGACAGTAAAGAGGGGTACAATCAAGCAAACTTTTAGTTCGGTTAGCCTTGCACCTTGCTTCCGTCTTCCCAAGGGTATCCTCCCAACTGGATGAGCTGATAGCATTGGATAACAGAAAAAAAGTAATGGGCGGGAATGGCTTGTTCCCCTGTAGAATCACTTTGCCAGTACTCAGAGGCAGGACATTTAAAGAAGGGAGTAATAATTTCTGGAAAAGAATGACAAGGAGATAGGCTATCAAGGAATGATAGGCTGACAGGTTAATTAGCTTAAGGCATCCCCAGTTTCTATGACTTCCAGACGGCAAAGAGACCTGAGGAGCTATGTGCTCTTTCAACCCCAGAGACAGAGGTTCCCAAGAAAGCCTGGACAAGAATGGTGCACAGGACACTGACTTCAACTGCTATGGGAAGAGGGTGAGCTCAAGACCATAGTCTGCTGATATATTGTTCAGGTTTTTTCAGTTTTCTGCTTTTAGTTTGATAGGTCTTTTATTTATCTTTGTGATTCTTTGCTTACAAAAAGAGAATCAATATTCATCATGATCAGATACAATAATTTAGTTTGCAAGGATGCTATGGAGGGCTCTCAGATGATGTTACTGAACAAGATGGGCCATGCATGTTTAATCTGCATCTCTGAGGAAGAAAGTGAGAGAGAGATTTAGAAAGGTAACCCAACACAGACAGATGCAGATGCTTGGTGAGATATCTAGAAAAAGCAAAGCTAGATGCATGCCCAGCTCCTTGTAAATTTCGCAAAATCAAAATTTTCATCTCTGCTTTTCAAGTGCTCTCCATACATGTGACTGGAAATATCTGAAGATACCAATTTTCTGATCTTGCTGCCAGTACCAAGAGTTAACACCCTCCAATACCATCTTCTCTTGTAGTAAAGCTTGCTTTGGTCCTCTTTACTTAGATTAAGTAAATATGGAAGTAAAGAGGAAGATTACGGCTTCTTCCTTATTAAAGGAAAGCTTTAATCAGTCAAGGATTCATGCTAATGCATACCTGAAAACTTCAAAACTTAGCATCTGTATTTACAGGTGGAAATCATACTGTGAATATAACAAATTACTGTATTCCTGCAGTTTTGTTTTCAGCTAGTAAATTAAAAGATTAGATTAACAAGAAAGTTTGTTACCTGTAATTATTTTCTCTCTTCTGCAAGTATTTTTACATTTAAAACATTATTTAGTATTAGTTTGTCAATATTTTTATTATAAGCTCTTCAAATGAAAAAAAAACCCTTTTTTTCCTATTAATTTATTCAACAAATATAATTACTTGAGATTTCTTCTGTCAAAGAAATATAAAGAAATTTCAGAAAATCAGTATTTCAATTTGTGGACACTGACCTATTTTTTAGTCTCCCCTCCCACATTTTAAGTATTATTTAAATAAGTAATTTTTATAAAACTTTTTTAAAAAAACTTTAGACTTTGAATTCCTGGAAGTGGAAGCAATCTTACCTAAACTCCAATGTCCAACAGAGGAACTTAAAATTCCAATTGTTGTGGAAGACACAGTAAATGAAGGAGGAGAGAAAGTCCTCTACAGCAAGCATTGGTATTAAAAGGATTGTAGCAATTGCAGATTTGCTAGTTGAATGAATTTTTCAGTTGTCAGAAACCATGCAGGAAAGTCAATAAATTCAATAAAACATTTTTTTTCCCTAAATGAACGACAGGAAGCACATTAGTTATGAAGTACTTCTTACTCAAATGCTAATTAACTACAGTTTCAAACAGCAATTCTTCAAGTTCATACAGTTAATGAGTTGGAAAAGATCGTGAGGGGTTATGCAGTCTGCTCCTCAGCCCAAGACAATTCCAGTGCTTCTGTGCTCTTAAAGATGCAGATATTCCCTCACATCTAACTTGGATGTTCTTTGTTGTAATTTAAGCCTATTTCTTTTCAACTTAGTTAACATAGATTAATTTCTTCCTCTTCATAATAACCTTATTTGGAATTTGAATTCTGTTATCAGAAAGTGGTTTTCCCACACTTTTCCTTCTTTTTTGACCAAGTAGTCTAAATTCTTTTTTTTTTTCCCCCCCGCAAACAATGCTTCCTTGACTTTTTTTCTTTCTTCTGGACTTTCTCTAGTGTGTCTCAGTATTTAATGTTGAACAGTGCCCCAAATGAACCGTGTTCTTGTTGAGCCCTTACCAGCCCTGAGCAGAGTGGTAGTATTACTTCGTATATCTTGCAGGTTACAGCCCTGTTTATTCATCTCAGCACAACACTTGTCTCTTTTGGAACAGTGTGACATTGCTGACTTGTGTTCAGCTGATGATCTACCATAAGTTAGAGTTGAACATGCTTATGTCCATAGGACCATGACACTTCATAGGAAATTCTCATTCTCAAAAGGTTTGTGCTGCCATTCAGATCAAAACTAGAGCTTACTAAAATTCTTATCATCAGCTTGGATACCACAGGAGTGCCAACAAGAACTCACATACTCACGTTCAACTTTCAGGATTTTTTTTTTTTTTTTACAGAAGTGAGCCTGGGAAAATTTGGCCATATCTTATGACAACAGGACTCTTCCAATACCAACAAACCCTGAAGGACCCTGGTCCTCACAGCTGGCCCAAAAGGACTGCCAGCCCTAAGAGGCCTGGATGATCCACAGCTAGCCCCGCCTGCAGGTGGGGCTGCCCTAGAGCTTTGGTGTCAGTCAGTTTGTTGGAGACAAGCCAGCTGCCTGTCCGCTGGGGTCCTGTTATATGTCAATGAAGAGCCCATGAAAACTCCATCTGCGTTCCAGCCAAACATAGTGCCCATGAGAAGTTTTCCACAGAACTTCTTCCTTTTTATAAACCAATCTTTTCTCATGAAATGCTATTTTGTCAGAAAATCTTCAAGCACTTCACTTTTTGCTTGTAGAAGTCTTCACATTTCTGTATCTTTCTCTAAGAGTTCCAGTGTAGCTCAGCCAAGAGTCATGCATTTAATATAATAATTACTGCCCTTGAGCACTGTGATGTGTTACACAGGTGTTGGACTAAATATTCATTAAGGTTTTTGTAATGTTAAATCTGGGACTTAAGATGACAAACATTACAATGACAAACAAACAAAGCCAAAAATCTTGGCAGGTATTCTGCTATACCTTGAAATGCCCTATTAATGCAAGTCATGCAAATACATGAGAGTTAGGTTGAAGCCATAAGCAACACATCTGCCCCTAACATCCAAGTAAGAGGTTCTGGTAGAAGACAGAGAGGGTGTAAGTGGCCAAGTCTGTGATTGATCTCATTGCTCAAGACAACTTAAAGAGAGCATTTCAGTGTAGAAATTGACAACGGATATAGGACAGAAGCTTTGCAGGCAATTTTAGACACTGAGGTGCTAAACATTATAATTCTGAGGATCCATGACAGTGTGAGGAAAAGTGAATTCTTCATATATGCACTAAATCCTTCTTGTACCTGTTTGGTCAAAATAAGAGATGAGTGCATCAAAAATGTAATCAAAAACAGGCTGCCAGTGTGCTCAAAGAAAAGAACTGTGTTTGGACTTAGTGTGTGGAAGTAAACTTTTATGTATTCCAACAAGACGTGTTAGCTAAAAGTGACTATAAACCACTTGTTTCCAATGTGGAAAGCAATTAATCTCATCCTCAAAAGAACAAGATTCTTATCAGAAAAAAAATAGTGTGATTTGCAAATGAGATATCAGCCTCTGACAAGTTTGCAGAGTTTAGAGACAAGAAAAGTGCAAGGCAAAACTCAGATCCAGAATAATGATTTGATTTTATAAACACTACCACTACATTTCTAATTAAATACAAAACATGGTTGCTAGAGCTTCTCCTGAGAATGAGACTTCAGAAAATCAAGACTATTAGCATGGGATCTCCATGACAATATTTCCGTGCTTGGCTGATAGCTTAAGGGAATGCTGTCTGCACTGGATGGAATTCTGCTGGCAGGATTCAGGATGGCAATATCCTTCTGTGTTACAGAAAATAAATGTCATAAAGATACTTTATAGTCACATTTGGCATCAATACAGCTAAGATGAGGCCAATAATATTTCATAAAAATCAGTCATGATACTGAGGAAGCTGTTGATGTTTCTAAAAGACAAGGTCTGCCCAGGGCAAATGAGAAAAAAAGACACTGGAAGGAATAGCCTATAATGTAGGCCTAGAATGTATTCAAGGTCGTTATAAAAGCTTAAGTAGTTGTCCTAGAGTAACAATCTCAGTTTTCCAAGGTAAACTAAATATATTAAAAAAAATACAGCATATGATACAACAGCATTGTATCATATGTAGTTTTGCTAGATCTGATATGCTCCACATTGTAAAGTTTCTCAATGGGTCAGCATCTTCTGGGCAAATTTAGTTTTCATAGCTATAACATTCTTTTAATGTAATGGCCATATAATTAGCTCTTTTTAAACTCCAAGCTAATATACTAATGTCAAAATATAAAGTACCTGCCAAGAAAACACAAAAGGGCAAAAATCCAGATTCATTCAACTCTTCAGGCAGCATTTACCAGCTATGGATT